TGTGTGTGTGTGTGTGTGTGTGTGTGTGTATGTTGGAAAATGGTAAAGGGGGAGTTAACGTCAATTAGGTCAAATGGAGGATATATATGCATCTGAGGAATGAGAACAAACTGTTAAAGGAAAAACTTTTAAATTTTGCAGTGACGTCCAACAGGATTTGGGGTGAGGAAAAGCAGAGGTATGGGCAGAATAACAGAGTGTGTGGGATTAAAAGAGGAACATCACAGGTGAACACGGGTGGATTATAACGTGAGATAGGTATGTGAGAAAGGTATGTCCAGTATGGAAACGGGCAAGAGCAGTCTCCCAGTGCTTTACAGTATGTAATATAATAGCAAAAATACCTATTTAATGGTTAATGGTTAAAAGCAAAAATAAATGTGCTAGACATATAAGGTCATATAGCACTATAGGAAAGTATATCAAAGGAGGGGTGAAGGGTGATAGTTGCTATTTGTCAACAATCTAGAATGATCTCGAAAGGTTAAAAATGGGTAAAGAAGTTGCTGTGTGAATGGGCTATGGTGGGTTTAGGTAAGGGGATTACATAAGTGTTTCACGTATGTATCCAGGAGGGAGTGTAAATGATGGAGGGGATGGAGAGAGGGAGAATGTACATATAGTTGGAGTTGTGGGGGTTGGGTTGTGTTGTGGAGAAGTGGTGTAGGGGGAATATGAGTAGAAGGAGGATGGGTGTCAGGAGGATGGATATCGGTAGTAGTTGGTGTTGAGGGGGATGAGTTATGGTAAGGGGATTACATAAGTGTTTCACGTATTTATCCAGGAGGGAGTGTAAATGATGGAGGGTAGTTTTGGATATCTTCCATAGTTTCTGCAGTGGAGTTGGTTGGAGAATTTTGTGGGACAAAGGTTTTCTTATGAGGGGGGGAAGAGGAGACTGCTGTCTGAGGAATAAAGGCAAAGGTACGTGGAAGTGAGTGTGCATTAGGGGCAGAAGGGGGGGAACGTTTAGTCCGTCTGGGACGGTGTTGGGGCTGTAGTTGAGATTGGAGTGTCTGGGTTTAGAGTAGCAAAAGTATTTGACTGGGGGGAGGTAGAATGTAGAAGTGGAAATAGGGAAGTAAGTAAGTATAGGGGAGGGTGTAGGAACATCTTGAGGTGGAGGGGCAGAGCGAGTGACATTACAAGAATAGGGATTATAAGAGAAACCTTGTCGGCGTGCTTCCTGTCTAGCTTCATGTAGAGACCATTTTTGTACCTGAGAGTTGCTACTTCAGACTAAACTTTGTAAGTCAGACAGCCTCTATAAAATACATTATGGGGCCCGCCGCAGTTAGCACATGTGCGTGTTTGTGCAGGGCAGTTTGATCTGTTATGAAAGGGCTGGGCATGGCGAGGGCATCGGTCTGTGGAGTGTCAGTGTTTGGCAGGATATCCAAATCGCCAACAGTTTTGACACTGACAGGGAGGAGGCTGGTATAGTCGAATAGGGAGGGATTATCCACCAATGCAGATACGAACAGGAAGGTCATGTGTACTGAAAGTAATTTTGGCAATGTTGATGGGTTTCTTTCGATGACCTCTAGGAGGTATGGAGTAGCAATGTACTGAATTCACGTCTTGGTATTTGAGGCAGCCGAGCAAGTCTTCTCCACAATCTGACCAATATTTGGTATCAACTGGGCAGTTTGCTGGGGAGATAGAGACAGTTCCTGTGCAAGTATTAAGAGTTGGATGAGGTTCTGCAGGAACGGGGTTGCCAGAGAGATCAGTTAGATTTGATGATGCTATAGCCTCAGTTTCAGATGTGACTGTTATGAGATGGGAGCAATTGCGTCGGGTACGGAAAGGGCATTGTTAAAAGAGAAGAGTGTTGCCTGAGTAAGGAGCTGTAGAGGGAATCACGAAAAATCTGTCCCATTTTGCTGGGCTAAATAAAGCATTTAAGATAGTTGTAGGGTTGGTGGTGGTAGAAAAAAGGGGACGTGTGGAAGAGGGAGTGTTGTTGAGGGGGTTAGTATTACGGAGAGATGGAGAATAAGGCTGTAAGGTAGTAATAAGGAAGGTTGGGGTGTTTGATGAAGAAGGTTGTAGGGGTAGAGGTGATGAAGTTGAGGAAGTTGGGAGAGTAGGAATGTCTTCTGGAGATTGAGTCTATGCTTGGGTGGGTAATGCAATAGTAGGCATTGAAGAGAGGGTAGTAGCCTCAGTGTTTAGAGTCCTGGTCAAAGGAGAGCCTGGAGTTGGGGAGCCGGTAGAGTCCGCATTGGTGGGGCTATTTGATGAAGGGGTAAGCCTCATTGCCTCTAATATGGGTATTACTTCATTACTGGCCATGTCTAGCCCTTACCCCCTGAAGGGGGTAAGGGCTAAACAACTAAATCAGGGGAATACCATGCCCATGGTTCCCGCAGGCCGTTCAGGACTGGCACAAGGTCAGCCTTTCATCCTTTTAGCACGGCTCTTACACCTTAAAAGTAGATAGTACAAGGGGTTGGAGAAGAGACGGAAATAAAAAGTTGGAGGGAGAAAAGGCCATGCAAAATTAGTTGAGTCGAGGGCTGAGGCCCTAGACAGGGGAGATCCCTGCATTGGGTCTCATTCTCCGTCTCCTAAGCCCCCTCACATGACAACAACGGGCAAGGGATTGGGGGTGAATACCTACTTAAAAGAATGCCAATGTGCTAAGAGGAAAGTCTTTAAAATAGGGTAGTAATCAATGGATGAATACTTAAAAACAGGGTTGGTGTGATACAGACATAGTGGCAAAGCATGCAAGAGCATCTGCCGACTCATTGTTGGGAATCCCCGACATGCTGGGCCCCCAGCAAAACTTGACATATTTGTGGTGCTTAGACAAGCAGAACTAGTTCTGAACCTTATGGATAAGAGGGATGGTCAAGTGCATACTGTTTGAGAGACACCTATTTGTAAAGTTTATTTCACTTATTACATGCTTGCAGTGTTTATTCATTAATGTATTACTCAGAGGCTACTACACCTTATTGTAGTTTTTAAACAAAAGAAGTCTGGTTCCTCATGTCAAAATATACATGCAGAACAAAATCAACCATGGAACTTGCTTTTTTACTTTATTTTTCCACAGGCTGATAATTAATCTTGTAGCCCTGTTGGTCACTCATGACCATCCTCAGCATCATATTTGGCCCATGGACCACAAGTTGAACAGCCCTGGTTGAGGAGGCCTTGCTGAGAAAAATCACTGGCTTAGTCTCCTATAGCTGCTTGCACCCATTTTATTTTTTTCTAGATATTTTCTGAAGGATCAGTCAGCAGTTCAAACCTTTTGAAAATTGTTTTATTACTATTTCAGTAATACAGTATATATATATATATATATATATATATATATATATATATATATATATATATATATATATATATATTATATATATATATATATATATATATATATATATATATATATTTTTTTTTTTTTTTTTTTTTTTTTTTTTTTTTTCTTTTAACAATGAATTGATAATATGGAATATCTTATTGTGAAAGATTTTGTACATTTAGAGCATTCATATCATGTACAGACAATCAACTTCCAGCTTAAATGGTTTTTAAACCACATCTAGCAGAAACCATTATTGAATTTAAATTTTTTATCTTTTCTCTGAGTTTGAAATATGTAGTATAATACTTCCTTATAATGCTCAACAGTGTTAGAGTTTCAGCTCCAAACCAGCTTCATAAACAACAGTTACTCTACAGTGTACTGTGCTAGAAAGTTTGCTAAATTAGGTTTATATAACACTTTTTATGTTTAACTTACCCCATTTACAGCAGATGATGTCATATGTCATGTCAAAAATTTCCCAAGCAATAGCCCAGACACAAAATGGTGAATGCTATTCCTCCCCGCCCTTCCCAAAATTTATCCAAAATTTGCGTCATAAATGGGTTAATGTGGGTTTATCAGTACAGAATTTTAGGTATATCTCTTATTAAAAAATTTACTTAAGTTTGGCAATCCTTGACAGGACCTCTAAAACAGAAACATAACCCATATGAAATATGGAAATGTGTGGATAAATAAGATTAAAAAATACAGAACATTACCATGACAACTTTATTTAAGGTTTTATTAAACATAAATGGAAGGTTGCAGATTTTTATTTCTTTGGTGATGTTGCATCAGATTTCATAGGTAGGAGAAAAAGCAACAATTATACAATGTCCTAAAACAGTTGGCATAAATTTGGCTTCTTAAGTCTGACACCTAGACAGTAAGTTGTTTTACTTCACTTTCACCAAAAATAAGTCACATCCTACTTACTGTTATAAACTAGTAAGATAATGATACTAAATAACTTTCATTCACAATATCCTATAGAAGAATAAAACAAAAACATTCAGATTTCTTTCAACTGATACAGTTCAAGTAGCAGACATCAGCTATCATTCATAACTAAAAACACTGCATGTATAATATCATATACCAATCACCCTCAAAATATGCATCTATCTTTTATAAAGATAAAAAATAAAGGTTTTTAAAAATAACCTTCAGTCACCTGAATCACAAAAAGTCACAGATGAGTTCCATCATCTTTGTAAAAATGAAATAGAATAAAATAAAAAATAATTGCACTGAATTACATTACAGTTGTTTTAAGCAAAAGGAATATAACTTTGCACTACAAATACAAGCTGACTTATTTAATATCAACTATTCACATGAACCATAATGTTCTTTTAAACCCTCCATATGAGGGCAATCATAATACATACAAAATTAAGCAATCTAATGTCTATCATTACTTTTGGAACAAGCCAAATAAAAATTCTGTATATAAACATTATAAATGAAAAGTATAATCATTCCCATGATGATAATAGATAACAATTATGATAATAAAATAAATAATAAAAATAATGACAGTAATCCCTTTTAAGGATACAGAAGCCTTGGAGCATGTATGTCACGCCAATCCAGCACTTCGATCAGGTCATCTTGCTCCTCATCATCGGAAGTCAAGTCAACTTCTTCTACATCTGCCACTTCGTCTTTGTCTCCCTTTTTCACAGACTCAACATCATCTGAAATAAAAGAAATTATATGAAATTATATAATCTTAACTAATCATATTTAAATATAATATTGTATGTGTGTGTGTGGGGGGTGGCTGGGTGTGTGTGGGTGTGCACAAGTGTGACCTATTGAACTCTGCATTCACATGGAACATATTTTTGAAATGAGGTTTTCAGTGCAATTAACCCAATACTGCCAGGAAAATGTGTATGTTCACTGATGTATCATTTTGCAAAATGTCTCTACACATGGATGGCTCCATAAGTGCTATGCCACCAAGGACTCAACTGGTCGTGCATGTGTGCCTTCACAAGATTTCTTCCTTCCTTAAGGGGATCGTCTAGTAATTTTTTGGCATTTTTCACCTTTCTTGCCAAAATCAAGTTTTGAGGGAGTTGGCCTCCGATTCTCCCCTGAAAATTTCAAGGCCCAACCACTATTTTTTTTTAGGTGGTAGCAGCCCTTTTCGATGTCGACCGAAATATTTATTTTTTTCTCCTTACTTTAGAAAATAGGCAATTGTGACAAAATGATTAGAGATCATTAAAAAAAGAGAATATTTTCTTAAGGCTAATTAAATTTCACATAAGATGAGACCAACCATCCTTTTTTCGGAATAATTTTTAAAATCTGACAAGTGTCAAAAAAACAATAACAGAAATTTTTCATAGAAAAATAATAATAATAATAATAATAATAAATAAAATAAAATAAAACAAAAAATTAAAAAATAATAAATAAACATGATATGCCGTTCATATAGAGTATTTAATTTCTTTGTTTTTCATCATATATAGTTAGTTTGATCTATGAGCAAAAATATTTTGAAAATGCGAACTCCCCCAAATGGGTGGTAGGATTGCCAAATAATCCGGATCACCACCAAAATTTTATGGAATATAAGTTAGGCTAAGACACACCTCAGGTGTCTTATTAAAATCTGTCCATAACATTTTGAGTTGGGAAAAAAAAAAAAAAAAAAAAAAAAAAAAAAAAAAAAAAAAAAAAAATCCTGGATCCGAACCATAGTCCACATCACCACCAAAGTGTTATTGGCGTCTAAGTTAGGTTATAACATACCTCTGGTAAAAATCTCATTAAAATGTGTTCATAACTTTTGGAAATATCCGACAACACAAACAAATAAACAAAAACAACAAACAAATGAAAAGAAATGAAAGTAACA